TCTGTCCCCTGTCATAATAGTCACGATTTTTAGCGTCGAACAATGGCCCGATTGATATGACGCGATGCTGGAAATCATAAATACTTTGACAGAGGGCGCAGGACTAGATATGCTCCCTGTTGCCCGAGCAATTTGAAAAAAAAATCAAACCAACACTAGAGGAGACTGCGACTAAACACAAGGCGATCATCTTCTTCATATCTTTGATTTAAAAAGAATTTATTAGGAACCTATTATTTTCAATTCGAATTTCAGTTTTCCGAGTATGCCGCTATTAAGAAGTATTCGCACACCGGAGCCTAGTTTACCTTAGTGATAAGATAAACTAGATTTTCGCCGATGTCTCGACGATAAGCCTTGGTGTCTCTAGGCTTTTATAAAAAGTTAACCCTCCGAAATTACCCATATCATTAAAAAATACTGAATTGATTGCCCACGCTTGCTTAAAATTCCTGCTTTAAGCCTTAAGTATTAAAAAAACGAATTTTATTCCCCTATCGTCATTCTTGTGATGCTTATTGAATTCAAAACCAATAGTTATTCGTCACATGAATAGCTTGAATAAAATTCAAAATAATGTATTGACAGAGGCAAAGTATTGTTCTAGTAAGGTAATATCAATACGATTGTTGATGAACCAATTTCGATGAGTGAAACTAATCTAATATAACTGGGTAAAGGCAAAATAAACTATCCTAATTTAATTGAAAATAGAGGTTAGTAACGACTCAATAACATGATTGTTTAAGAGTAAATTCATTTTTTTCAAAGTAGCAAATTGCATGGCCTCTAAATTATTGCAGGGAAGATCCAGTATCCACAATTAGTCTGATTCCTATGAAAATTTTAAATGAGTGTGATGTGACTAAAAGTGGCATATTTGATTACTCCACATGTCTTTTATTTTGACTTTTTAGTTCCCCCTTTTTTGCCCCTTTTGCCTCTCTGCATCTTTCTTGTCTTGTAGGCACGCCAGAATGCCTGTATAGTCGTAGCGGCGGTCATCAGCGCCTGACTTTCCTGCTCGGCTGCATGAGCCTCTTCTTCCACCTTGCGTCGTTCCTCCATTATCGCCATGTACTCCTCATAAATGACCTGAAGTAGAGAGTGTAGTCAATTTAATAGAAATTTAATTGCTCCATATATGTGCAAATTGTATCGGATAAGTAGCTAGCTTAGTTCAAGACTGCATATAGGCTAGTTAATCTTCTTTGTAATCGAAGGTATGAAGACCAAGATAGTGTGACCTTTTGTGTGGTTGCAGTCTCCTTTCGTTGTATAGAAGTAGTTTGACCTTGTTTTCGTAACTTGGTCATATTAGCAGGAAGACGTAAAGGAATGCACCTAGTCCGGAGTCCATTGTATACATGATAATTTCTATAGTCGGACCATTGAATTGGTACATTCTCAGACCTTTCGTCGGCATCGTCAATAATTCTTGCCGCCCTTAGCCCCACACTACAACTCGTCAAAGTGACAATTGAAGCCGATCCTCAGACCAGTTGTCTGCTAAACAATCGTAGTATCTCTCCTTCTTTCCCGAGCTATACACCTCTCCTATATACTCATATCACGCCTTCATATCACAATGTTTACTTGCTTATTTAAATGTAGCATGGTGTGCCCTTTTGAACGGCTTTCGTGAGAACTCTCCACACTCCACGCTGGTTATCTCATCCCATTTACCCTTACATGGAAATGAT